GGGGGGGTACGAGCTTCGGCAGATACAAGCACAAAGTCCAATCCAAGCCCCAAAGCACATCAAACCTAGACTAACAAAAGGAAAAAGGAACTGGCACTGCCAAAAATAGTTCCCCAGTAGATCAATTCCACTATTATGTTTTCGGGATCAACAAAATTTCTCCATGAACTGCTCATTTAGTATAAAATGCATGCATTTTGTCACCTTATCAGATTTTGTCACCTTATCAAATGGCTGTCCTTTCTGGTGGAGCATACCAATGTGTGTTTTGGGGTATGGTGATACACTGTCTCCATACTGTGCCATTGTATCAGAAAAGTGCATCATTATAAGTCTTTTCATCTGCCTCATCACTAATGAAGTCTTCCCAGAGGCTTTTATTCAAATCACTTGAATCAACTGAACTGGAAATCAATATTCATACCCAAAGCTGTGCCAACTGAGGCTGCCATGTAGGTGGTGGAAATGAGGCTCAGCACACAAGGAATTAATTATAAATGCTTTAGTGAAACAGTTATCCACTCTGGCATTCAGACTGCCCACCTGTGTCTTCTTGCTCTACCAGCTTCACCTTCAGCTCAGAACACAACATCCTACTCTCCCGGCACCTCCTCTGAGGCACTTCCCCCAGAGCTCACCCTCTTCATAATCCAAGATGGGAACTTTTGATTCAGAAATGGTGGAAACAAAACTGAGCCAAGGTTTGGGAGCACATGCAGGGAGGGCTTTAATTGGGGAATAAGTAGGACTTCCGCTGAAGGGAAACAGCATGATGGAAGAACCAGGCAGCTTCCCTAACAAAGGGAGATGGAAGGTTTTAATTGATATGCGGTGGGGGGGCTAGGGTCTGGTAATTTACCACCTGCCCAGAGCATGGTTCCAGTTACATTTTTGTATCAGACTCAGACACCAGGTAGTAACAGTAGAGTTGTCCCAGGATTGGCTGAGCTACTCTTGAAGCTGCTACCATCATCCTGTGCAAATGTCCTGGCCTTGTGGCTTGATCTGGGTCTTAGGAAGGACCTTGGATGCTTGTGCTGCTACAGCTGGTGGAAAAGCACCAGGGTGGCAGAGTAGAAGAAAACACATAGCAGCTCCCACCACCAATCAGTGTGTCTACAAGCAGAGCTGAGTGGAACTGACCCAAGTGCTAAGGCAGCAAAGGGGGCAGAGATTAGTATGAAGACAGAGATAACCAGCCTTTGCATTCCATCCCAGTCACCTATCAGACACCTACGGCAGGCCCAATGAAGTCAGTGTTTTCAACAAAAGTGGCCCTCAGGTCCCTAAAAAGTAACCTAGGCCACCTTTATCATTATAGCCCACATCAGAGGTGTCATCTACAGTAAAGCTACTAGGAAAACAATAACGAATCCACCCAGCTGTGTGACCTCCAAAATTAGTGATTTTTAAGTTGACTAGGGACAGGCAAAGCTAGAGGGTTTGCTTCAGTTATTCCCCTAGTAATAATTCCATCTTATGCAAATAGTCAGCTTCTGTTTTCATCAGTCTTGATGACAGATCTGTTGAAAGGAACACAAGAGTAGAGAAAAATATTATGCTACTACAAGGGGTGACAGTTTATTATACCTAGGAGTTTATGTCATTGTCCCAGCCTTTTGCCTCCCCAGGTTCTCAGAATAATCATGTAAAAACTGATCATGCCCCATGTTCAAGTCCTTGTTCCAAGACCCTTGTCTAAATTCTTCAGAAAATACCAAGTGTTATACAGAGGAGGGAGAAGGATGCTATTGTTTGACTGATTTGTCCCCAAAGATTTCTGTTTGCCACAAAGGCTTAGTCCTCAGTGTGGAGATGCTGAGATGGGGGAAGCTTTTAAGAGGCAATCAGGTCATGAGGGTACTGCCCTTGGAAAAGATTAATGCAGGTCTCATGGAACTCGGTTAATTCCTGTGAGAATGGGCTGTTATAGGGGAATCTGGCACCTCCATACTCCACTTGGCACTTATATGCATGCTCCCAATGCTATGATCTCAGTTACCATGAGGCCCTCGCCAGAGCCAAGCAGAAGCCAGCACCTAGCTCTTGAACCTACAGAACTGTGAGCTAAACAAACCTCTTAAAAAATAAAATTCCCAGTCTCAAGCATTTTGTTATTGCAACAGAAAACAAACTAAGACAAAGGGTGAGTACCAAATCAGCAGGCACTTGCCACCCCCCACTTTCCTTTCCTCACCTCAATCCTAATTTCCATGTTCCCTGACATTCACCAATTCCATTCTGTCACCACAGCTTGAGTACCATAGGTAAAGTGGACCAGGTGCAGAATCAACATATGAGTAGCAGCAGTGAAGTCAGAGGCGGGCAGTGGAGGTCCTCCCCACCATGCCTTGGAAAACAGAACCTGGCCCATTGGTTTCCCCTGTATTGCTGAATGCTACAACTGCATTTCCAGCAGGTAACATTAGTGGCTGCAGAAACCATGGCCACTTTTTTTGATAATATTTGCCATGAAGAAAGTCACCTGGTATAGACTCACACATTTGTTAGGTTATGTCTCTGACCCCTGGCACAATTTGACTTGTCAAGGTAAGGAGGCAGTATGTGTGTGAATAGACCCATGACCCACCAAACCACAGGGAAGTAGAGATGCACGTGGAAAAGGGACTGATTTCTCACTGGGCCTAGTTACGTGCTCTCCCACCTCCATGGAGTCTTCCAGAGAGCTCACAGAAATTTTAGAATTTTTGAGCTCCCCATAGGAGATTCCTGAGATGAGCCCTCACCCCTCACCCCTCCTCACAGCTCTGCATTCTACTCTAGTCTCTCACTAAAAATGAGATGAGATTTTCATGCCACAGTGGAGAAGAGAGAGGCACCACTTATCTTCTTATGCCTGGAGAAGGGCCAACGGTGATGGCAGTTATCTGCCCACAGTGAAGCCACAGGGTCCTTCCCAGCTGCAAGGGGGTAGGTGACGGTTCATCCCCGGCAGGGATGAATGAACCCAGCAGCCAATGTGACCACAGACCCACAGAGAAGGGCAATTTCAGATCCTGGAAAAACATCTCACATGCAAACAGTAATCGACATGGGTATCCAAAATGGGCCCTTTATTTCTGAATTGTTACACTGCACTAATAAGGTCACTTGGGTCACAGGCACATGGTGGAGTGTCAGAAGAAAAGTGGGTCAGAAGGTGAAAGCAGAGGACTGCACCCAGGGATGACTGTTTCCTCACGGAGAAGAAACTCGTCCGCAGAACAGAATCCCTCTGGTCCTGCTGTGCTGGATGAAGAAGAGGAAGGGGTGGTCTGCGCAGAAGCGCGCAGTGAACCTCATGCACCTCATCATCATGATAGCGGCAGTGGCGGCTGCAGCTTCAGTACCCTCCTCATTGACCTCCACAAAGGACTTGTGCACGACCTTGGACAGATACAGGTCTTTCCTGGATGACATTCCAGAAAAGTCTGCCCTGGCCTCATCGAAGGCATCGATCATGCCCAGGCTGCGAAGGACTTCCTCCAAATCATAATTTTCCTGTAGCTTAAACCGAGGGAGGAAAACCTCCACCTCCTCTTCATCCATCAGGTCTGGGTTGGTCCACTCTATGTATTTCTCATAAGTAAGTTCCTTCTCCACCTAGAAGGGAGTTGAACATGTCAAGACAGAGCACATGCTGTCACACAGGGCCACGTGCGATAATGGAGATGCTCCACGTTGTGATTGCGAGCCTCACCATGGCCAGAGGTGGTGCTAGTGGTAACCAAGGTAAATAGAGCTCAGGGACAGCTCAGCAGGAGAGCTTGCCTAGTATGTGCAAGGCCCTGGGTTCCATCCCCAGCACAGACACAAAAAATAAAATAAAATAAAAGGCTAACTGGGAACGGGGGAAAGCAGCTACACCAGAAACCCAATGCCCTTCCCCTGCCATCATGGCCTCGTTATGGCTTAGTGCTCCTTACCGTTTTCAAGTCAATGTGCTCATCGGGCAGCATGATGATCATATTCAGCTCCTCGCTGACGTAGGGAAGGACTAGAATCTTGGTGAATATTTCCCCTATATAGGTCATTTTAAAAGTAGACTTCTTAAACATCATTTGCACAGGCTTCTCCTCATTCTGTAAGGAAATGGACAACTGTTGAGTAGAAACTTGACCCAGCTGGCACATTGGACTATACCACAGAGGTTAGCCCCTGTGGGCCCCCGGAACACTCTTGACCCAGTTTCTAGGACAGGCCATGAGGTTCCTCCTGAACCCCTGTTATGGTTAGACACCAAGTGTCCCCAGAGGCCAGTGTGTTAAAGGTTTTATCTACAGGGTGGAGCTATTGGGAGGCACTGGAATCTTTAAAACGCAGGGCCTAGTAGAAGTTAGGTCATTGGGGCAAGTCCTTGGAGGGGACTCTGAGACCTGAGCCCTTCCTCTCCCCTTCATTTCCTGAGAGGTAAATGGTCTTGCTTAATCACGTGCTCCCACCTTTGCCATTCACAACCTCCATGCCTAAAAGCAAAGGGCCTGCCTCATCATGGATGGGAAACTCTAAAAGTACGAGCCCAAATCAATGTGTTCCCTGTATAAGTGGATTAGCCCAATATTTGGCACACTAACAGAATGCTAAGAAACCTCCAAACACTGAGGTGCCCAGACTCACACCCAACACCTTTCTTGGTGACTTCACCTAATGACTTTGAACTTAATCCACAAATTTACAGTTCTAGCTGGGACCTCTCCCCTGGACTCCAGGCTCATGTATTATACTGGCTGCGTGACACCCACACTTAGACTAAAAGAAAGTCCTAATGTCACACATGACTATGGGCTCCTTATATCCCCTTCCTGCTCCACCTACACCTCTGCCCATCACAGTAGGCAGTGACACCATGCATCCAGTTGTCAAAAGCCATGGTGCGTCCTTGCTCATGTCTTTCTCTTACACTCTGCATCTCACTCCTTAGCAGATTATGGTGGCTCTACCTTTGAAATACAACCAAAACCTCATCTGTTGTTCTTTCTTCCACTGCCATCACCCTATCCCTGGAATACAGAGATGACCTCAGAGGGATCCCAGTGAAATGTAAGTCAGATCACACCCCTCTGACTGGACACCATTCCATGACACCCCTTCTCCTAGGAGCAAGATCTGAAGTGCTCAGTACATCCTATAATCACAACAACAGCTCATCTCCCATTCCTTGTCTCTCCTCACCTCTTACTACTCTCCCTCTGCTGGTTCCTACACTCACAGGGGTCTCTATGGAAAATCAGGGTCATTCTATCCCTCACCTGTCCACTCATCCCTACAACCTAGAGGGTGTAGCCTTTGCCTCTTCCTGGTTTTTACTCAAGTATCACCCTCTCAGTGAATGCTTCCTTGATACACCTGACCTGCAGCTGTACCCCCAGCCACAGCTTCCTGTCTGCCTCCTTTGTGTCTCTGCAGCACTTACCACTGCCTAACAACTACTAATGTCTTATTTAAGATTCTGGTCTCTCTCTCAAGAAAATGTAAGTTTCATGAGGCAGACATGTTCAGCTAGTCAATACCTGGCACACAGTAGGCACTCAATTAACATCAGCTGAATAAATGAATAAAAAAATTGATAAGCACAAATAGCAAAGGGCCATCCTCAGACCATGAGAAAAAGACAGAGGACAGTGACCACATCCTACCCTACAATACTGCTTAACTTATGAGTACTCCACAGTTTGATACCAGCAGCTACTATGAAGTTGTTTTTAGCTCCATGCAACAGGCCCAGCTGAGGGAGCTCCCTAGTTCTCTGGCACAGCACACCATTCCGGATCAAATGCAGTAAACCAAAGACATATCTGCTGTCACTTTCTGTCTCCGCCTTGTCGAGCTTGCCTGAACTAGACCTCAGCCACAACAGTCTCCTGCCCTTGGCTCCTCAAACATGTCCTTGGCCAGGACTTGGCACACTTTTTCCACAAATGGGTGGACAGTAAATATTTTGGCATTCGTGCTACAGATAGTTTCTATCATAACTACTGGATTCTACTGCTGTGACACATATAGACAAATAAGTATGTGTGTGCACCAACAAAAACTTTATCTGATAAACTTGATATGGGCCGACTTTGGCCCACAGGCCTCAGGGTGCTGACCCCACCTTATTCAATTTCTCTGCATTCCCCTCCAGGACCCAAGGTCTCCAATCTTATAATAGAAAAGAATCTAATCTTGGTAATTTAATGACTCACTAAATATATAATTATGTTAGTAAGCTTAATCTCACTTAGAAATGAGGAATCCAAATGAAAATCCTTATCAACTCAAAATCCATGTCCCTGGAGACACCCCTGCCACACACTCTGTGGGCTGGTACAGTCAACCCCTGCTGCAGCTCCACCCTCTCCCTCCACTGCAGAAAGCAAGGTAAACCATGTGAGAGCAGTTCTGGTTTCCCTCTGAATACAGCGGCAGAATCTCCAAAGAAAGCCTTTTGCTCTCCATCGTCTGTCCTTCCTGCTCCATCCTGCCTGGACAGTGGAGGCAGTATCTGAGCCCTCCTGTGAGCACGAGGAAGAGGCCACAGGCTGAGGGTGGCAGAGCAGGGAGAGCTGGTTCCAAAGAGCATCACCCCAGTGCCACATCAGCCCTGGGTTCTCCTCTCCTCTAGGCCTCCTGGGTGGTGAGATGAGCTGTGAGCTAAATTGCAGAGATCTGAGCTAAACTGCAGAGATCAGATGAATGAAGCCCTAACATACATCTTGTTAAAGATGAATTTCAAGGATAAAAAAAATCATATTTTGAGGGGAAAACAGGACAGTTCAGTGCATAATAAATCTCAACACAAAATGTATGTCTTGAAAAACTGAAGGTTCAGATCCAAGTGGACGAGGAAGATCTAATTTATGGTCAGTGATCAAGAACACATTAGTCCACCCTGTCTGCTTTGCAGCATGTCAAAAAAAAAACTCTATGATTAAAAATACTTTTAAAAAATTGGATTCTGTGAGAGAAAGACACCAGGCCATCAGCAAACAACACCTTCCAAGCTGAAGGTGGTTAAACTCAAGAGTCTAATTCTGTGTATTTATCCCTTTGCTTGTTTTTAAACAAAAATATGTACTGGTGTTATCCTTACAAACAAAAGAAGACTGAAGATCAGTGATTGGTTCAGTATTTCCTGAGCACCAGCTACATACAAGTCAGCATTTATATGACAGCCATCTGCCCTGGGATGGTTTTCCAATAAAAGTAAAAAGTACTTCAACCACTGCAGTGTCTTGGGGAGACCAGCAGAGGGCGTAGTGACAGCTTAGATAAAGGGGCAGAAATCAGATACGGCTTCCAGAGGGGACACCACTGTTAAGAAAGAAGTGTGGTGGGGTCCCAGATGCAGAGTCCATTCACCTGTCCCATGCCACCACAGCTTATGGGGTTCCTTATTCACCAAAGCTTGGCTCTACAGCCCAACATCATGAGGGTTGAGGGTTGAGGGTTGAGGCTGCCATTGCTATGAAACTGGCATACTGACACTTCTATCAAGAGACAACAATAAGGACCTGGTAAGATGTCACCAAGGTCACTGTGGCCTGGCTGCACCAGAGGTTTCTCTATTAGGGTGCTAAGAGTTATCCTGTTGCTGAAGTAACAGGGAATCTTGCATGGGATTGCCTATCTTTTATTTCTCCTACTAACAGCCAACTTCTTATGATTATACTAGTCATATAATCTAATACCTCCATATTGTCACATCCTACCTCCTAAACACCTCAGCCAACCCCCCCAAGCGCCCTTCCACCATGAAACTGTAAACCATTATGCAAACCTACTGACTATATGGTTGAAGATAACCAAACTCATCATTTCTGTTTATAGTGACAAAACTGTAAAATATAACAAAAATGTAAAAATAGAACCTAACTGATACATGGCTGTTCATTGAGTGCTATAATATTGAAATCTCCCTCAAAAGTGAGATATTGGTAACCTGTAGGCACACTATAAGACAATAGGACAGAAGCTGTAATACCTCAGATCTACACTGCAAGAGAGGAAGACACATAGACATCATGAAAAAATAAGGGAGAAAAGTGCCCCAAACAAACCAAGACACTGTAATAATAGAATCCATAGACAGTGCAGTAGGTGAAATGTCAGAGAAGGAGTTCAGAATATACATAACTAAAATGATTTGGGAAATAAAGAATGACCTAAGTGAGCAGATACAGGCAAAAATCAATCACTCCAACAAAGAGATAAGCGAACAAATTCAAGTGACTATTGATCACAAAAAAAAAAAAAAAAAAACAAGAAATCCTAGAAATAACAAGCCAATTAAAAAACTCAATAGATAGTATCACCAATAGACTAGACCATTTGGAAGACAGAACTTCAAACAATGAAGACAAAATATATAATCTTGAAAATAAAGTTGACTTCACAGTGAAGATGGTAAGAAACCATGAACAGAACATCCAAGAATTATGGGATACCATCAAAAGACCTAATTTAGGATTTATTGTGATAGAGGAAGGTTCAAAGATTCAAACCAAAGGAATGCACAATCTCTTCAATGAAATAATATCAGAAAATTTCCCAAGCAAGAAGAATAAATTAGAAAATCAAATACAAGAGGCCTATAGGACACCAAATGTACAAAATTACAACAGATCTACACCAAGACACATTAAAATGAAAATGTCTAGCATACAGAATAAGGATACAATTTTTAAAGGCTGCAAGAGAGAAAAAATCAGATTACCTATAAGGGAAGACCAATTCGGATCTCAGCCGATTTTTAAACCCAGCCTCTCAAAGCTAGGAGTCTTGGAACAAAATATACCAAGTGCTAAAAGATAATGTATGTCAACCAAGAATCTTATATCCAGCAAAATAAAGCTTCAAATTTGATGTTAAAATAAAAACCTTACATGATAAACAAAAGCTAAAGAATTTACAGAAAGCTATACTACAGAACATTCTTGGCAAAATATTCCATGAGAAGGAAATGAAAATAACTATGAAAATCTGCAAAGGGAAGAACTACAATAAAAGAAAAGCCTACCAACGGAGAAACCAGGTCAAGCTAAATACCAAAAATAAACAAAAATAACTGGTAACTCAAATCATATCTCAATAATAACCCTAAATGTTAATGGCTTAAACTCACCAATCAAAAGACATAGGCTGGTAGAATGGATTAAAAAAAAAGACCCAACAATATGCTGCCTTCAAGAGACTCATCTTATAGGAAAAGAAGCCCACACATTGAAAGTAAAAGGTTGAGATAAAATATACCATTCACATGGTCTATGTAAGCAAGTAAGGATTTCCATCCTTATATCAAATAAAGTAGACTTCAAGCCAAAGTTAATAAAAGGAATAAAGATGGACATTTCATACTGCTTAAGGGAAACATACATCAACAAGACATAACAGTTATAAATATATATGCCCCAAACAATGGAGCACCTACATTCATCAATCAAACTCTTCTCAAGTTCAAGAGTCAAATAGATCACAACACAATAATTCTGGGTGACTTTAACATACCTCTTTCACTACTGGATAGATCCACCAAACAAAAGCTAAACAAAGAAACTATAAACTCAATAATACAATCAATAATTTAGACTTAACAGACATATATAGACTATTTTATCCATCAACGAGCGGAAACACTTTCTTCTCAGCAGCATGTGGATCCTTCTCTAAAATAGACCATATGTTATGCCACAGGACAAATCTTAGTAAATACAAAAATGCAGAGATACTACCCTGCATTCTATCATACCACAATGGAATGAAATTAGAAATCAATGATAAAATAAAAAATAAAAACTACTCCAACACCTGGAAACTAAATAATATGCTATTGAATGAACAATGGGGTGCAAAAGATATCAAGGAGGAGATTAAAAAATTCTTAGAGGTAAATGAGAACACCAATACAACATATTGAAATCTCTGGGATACTATGAAGGCAATGCTAAGAGGAAAGTTCATTGCATAAAGTTCATACAAGAAAAAGTCAACAAATAAATTACCTAACACTACATTTCAAAGCCTTAGAAAGAGAAGAACAAATCAACCCACAGCAGTAGAAAACAGGAAATAATTAAAATCAAAGCTGAAATCAATGAAATTGAAACAAAAGAAACAATTGAAAAAATTGACAAAAAGTTGATTCTTTGGAAAAAATAAATAAAACTGATAAACCATTGGCCATTCTAACAAAGAGAAGGAGAGAGAAAACTCAAATTATTAACATCCATGATGAAAAAGGATATATTATGAAGGACACTACAGAAATACAGAAGATAATTAGAAATTATTTTGAAAATTTGTACTCCAATAAAATAGAAAATATCAAAGGCATTGACAAATTTCTAGAGGCATATGATATTCCTAAACTAAATCAGGATGATATACACAATTTAAACAGATCAATTTCAAGCAAGGAAATAGAGGTCACCATCAGAAGCCTACCAACCAAGAATAGCCCAGGACTGGACAGATACACAGCTTAGTTCTACAAGACATTTAAAGAAGAATTAACACCATACTTCTCAAACTATTTCATGAAATAGAAAAAGAGGGAACACTTCCAATCACATTCCATGAAGCAAATATTACCCTGATTCCAAAATCAGACAAAATCAAAAAAAGAAAACTCAGACCAATATCTCTAATGAATATAGATGTAAAAATTCTCAATAAAATTCTGGCAAATCAAATACAAATACATATCAAAAAGATAGTGCATCATGATCAAGTAGGGCTTATCCCAGGGATGCAAGGTTAGTGCAACATACGGAAATCAATAAATATAATTCATCACATGAATAGACTCAAAGATAAAATTCATATGATCATTTCAATAGATGCTGAGAAAGCATTTGCTAAAATACAGCATCCCTTCATGTTCAAAACACTAGAAAAACTAGGGATAACAGAAACATACCTCAACATTGTAAAGAATATCTTTGCCCCAGGCTAACATCATTCTAAATGGAGAAAAATTGAAAACATTCCCTCTAAAAACTGGAACAAGACATAGATACCCTCTGTCACCACTTCTCTTTAACATAGTTCTTGAAACTCTAGCCCAAGCAATCAGACGAAAGAAATTATAGGGATACAGATAGGCAAAGAAGAACTCAAATTATCACTATTTGAAGATGATATGATTCTATACCTACAGGACCCAAAACATTCTACCAGAAATCTCCTAGAACTAATAAATGAATTCAGCAAAGTAGCTGGATATAAAATCAACACCCATCAATCAAAGACATTTCTATACATCAGTGACAAATCTGTTGAAAGGGAAACTAGAAAAACCACCCCATCTATCTCAAAATAAATTTAAAAAATATTTGGGAATAAATTTAACAAAAGAGGTGAAAGAACTCTACAATGAAAACTACAACACGTCAAAGAAAGAAATTAAAGAAGACCTTAGAATATGGAAGGATCTATCTTGTTCTCAGGTAGGCAGAATTAATATTGTCAAAATGACCATACTACCAAAAGCACTATACAGATTCACTGCAATCCCAATCAAAATCCCAATGCCATTCCTTATAGAAATAGAAAAAGCAATCATGAAATTCATCTGGAAAAGAGTAAGAGATCCAGAATAGCCAAAGCAATCCTTAGCAAGAAGAAAGAAGCTGGTGGCATTACTATTCCAGACTTAAAACTATACTACAGAGCAATAGTAACAAAAACAGCATGGTATCGGCATCAAAATAGATCTATACATCAATAGTACAGAATAGAGAACTTAGAGTCTAACCCCAAAACTACTGTTATCTTATATTAGACAAAGGCACCAAAAACGTACATTGGAGAAAAGAGAGCCTCTTCAACAAATGGTGCTGGGAAATCCACGTGTAACAAAATGAAATTAAACCTCTATCAGTCACCATCCATAAAACTCAACTCAAAGTGGATTAAGGACCTAGGAATTAAACCAAAGACCTTGTGCCTAATGGAAGAAAAAATAGGCCCAAATCTCCATCATGTCGGATTAGTCCCCAACTTTCTTAATAAGACACCTGTGGTGCAAGAATTAAAACCAAGAATCAATAAATGGGATGGATTTAAATTAAAAACTTCAGGGCTGGGGATGTGGCTCAAGCGGTAGCGTGCTTGCCTAGCATGCGTGCGGCCCTGGTTCGATCCTCAGCACCACATACAAACAAAGATGTTGTGTCCGCCGAGAACTAAAATAAATAAATATTAAAATTCTCTCTCTCTCTCTCTCATCTCTCTCTAAAAAAAAATAAAAATAAAAAATAAAAAATAAATTAAAAACTTCTTCTTAGCAAAAGAAACAATCCGAATGGAAGAAATCAAAGGAAGATTCTACAGAAAATTCTACAGAATGGGAGCAAATCTTTACCACAAGCACATCAGGTAGAGCACTAATCTCTAGGGTATATAAAGCACTCAAAAATCTTAACACCAAAAAAACAAATAATCCAATCAATAAATGGGCCAAGGAACTGAACAGACACTTCTCAGAAGAGGATATACGATCAATCAACAAACACATGAAAAAATGTTCAACATCTCTAGCAATTAGAGAAACGTAAATCAAAACTACTCTAAGATTTCATCTCACTCCAGTCAGAATGGCAGTTCAAGAAATACAAACAACAATAAGTGTTGACGAGGATGTGGGGAGAAAGACACACTCATACATTGCTAGTGGGACTGCAAATTGGTGCAGCCATTCTGGAAAGCAGTATAAAGATTCCTCAGACAATTGGGAATGGAACCACCATTTGACCCAGCTATTCTATTTCTCAGTTTATATCCAAAGGATTTAAAAACAGCATACTACAGGGACACAGCCATATCAATGTTTATAGCAGCACAATTCACAATAGATAATTATGGAACCAACCTAGATGCCCTTCAGTAGATGAATGGATAGGGAAACTTTGGTATATATACACAATGGGACATTATTCAGCATTCAAAGAGAATAAAATCATGACATTTACAGGTAAATGGATGAAGTTGGAGAATATAATGTTAAGTGAAGCAACCCAATCCCAAAAAACCAAAGACCAAATGTCTTCTTTGATATGAGGATGCTGACTCATAATGGCAATGGCCAGGGGAGCATGAGAGGAATGGAGAAACTTTAGATAGGGCAAGGGGGGGGGGGGGAGAAGGGGGGAAGAAGGGGGGAAGTGGAGAAGAATGATGGTGGAATGAGTCAGACATCATTACCCTAAATACATGTATGAAGACGTGAATGGTGTGAAAATACTTTGTGTACAATCAGTGACTTGAAAAATTGCGCTCTATATGTGTAATATGAAATGAATTGCATTCTGCCATCATGTATTACAAATTAGAATACATGAATAATTTACTTTAAAAAAAGAGAAAGGAGTGTGAAGGTATTGAGGAGAATGGGGAGGATCCAGGTCCACGAGGACCCTCAAACACCAAATTTGGAGTTTGAACTTTATCTCAAAAGTTCTGAGAAGCCAAGAAAGACCTAAAGTTAGCCTGAGAGCTACACCATCAGATTTGCCTTGTAGATTAACACACCAGAGCAAGTATGGCAGGTGACAGTAGGGGGTGCCAACAGAACCCTTGGTGTCATATAAAAAGAGGATAAGTATGAAAGCAAGGCCCCAAGGCTTCAGGGGGTCCTTGCTGCAGGGCTACCCTACGCCTTGCAAGACACAGGCTCCATGTGGTGGCCTTCATGATCTAGAAACCACCGCAAACACAGGCCCTGTGTCTGGGAATCTCCTTTGTTACTATGCAACATTCACCTTGCTGACTTTAAATGGTCTCTCCTGGGTGAGCTCTTTGTCAAACTGTTTATCCCAGTTTCCTTTGAAGTAGATGGCATTCACGAGAACCAGTTTAGTGTTTGTATTCAATGAACCTGGAGACAGCAACTCTGTAATTTTATCTGAAAGGAAAAATTAAAGAACCAGTTAGCTAAGAGTTTTCTGATGGGTGCATCAGTGATGATACGGAGAGGGGCCCACCTCCTCAAATGGTCAAACACAGAGATAAAGGATCACATATGCCCCAAATAATATAAACAGATATTTGTCATCAAAACAAAGCAACAGTCCTGGCACCAAGAAAAAAAAAAAAAAACTTTAAAGTTCTGGCAAGAAAAATACCATCATTTGAATAAAACATAAAATGAACAAGTAGATATCAGTAAGTGAATTAAAGGACTATTAAAAGAAGGATTATAGATTTAAATTTTTGAGGGGCCAGATATGTTTACCCTTATTTAAACACTGCACTACACCACACACACACACACACAACACACACACACACACACACGTATGTATTGAAGCATCACGAACAGTTTTGTTATTATTTTTAGTACAATTTTTAACAATACTATTATTATCAACTAAAAATATTTAAATTTTTAAAAAGATGACTGGTTACAAGATGCTCTTTACAAATGTAAAAGCACAGTTTACCCAGACATAGTGGTACATGCCTATAATCCTACTGGCTTGGGAGGCTGAGGCAGGAGGACTGTAATTTTAAAGCCAGCCTCAGCAACGTAGGTCCTAAGCAACTTAGCAAGACCTTCTCTCTAAATAAAATATTTTTAAAAGGACTGGGGATTTGGCTCAGTGGTTAAGCACCCCTGGGTTCAAAGCCTGGTACCACAATTTTTTTTTTTTTACTTTTACATTAACTTACATTAAAAACCACAGGTAAATGAAGATACTGCTAAGCAACTTGCAATAATGCATGAAAACTGTGAAGCATGAACCCACACTACAAAAGACACAGCCGAGACCTGTCATGTGAATTTTTCCTTTGGTGAAAAGAAAGAACAGCCAACAACAAAAAAATTTAAGTGTGGATTGCTGACTACTGGAAAACATCACGGACACACTGAGAACAGCAGAGAGAAGAAGCTAGAGAAAATGTCATCCACTGACAGTATTTCAGCAGCAGATTTTAAAGTCTTCAAGAAGAAAAATATCATTCTTCATATTTGACAATCTTGTTAAGGAACTGAAAATAAGACTGATTAAAATACTTAAAAACAGAACAGGATGGGACTGCAGCTCAGTGGAACAGCATCTGCTCAGCATGCACAGGGCCAAGGGTTGGATCCCCAGCACTGCAAACAAAGCAACAACAACCCCACCATCAACAGAAACAACAAATAAAAACTATGTTTTTACCTTCTGTCTTTTTAGCTACCCAGGTGTTTATGTGTTTTCTGGACTCCTCTGTAGCATTCAGAAAGTCAAGCTCTTCCATCTCTGCTTGGTAGAATTTCTGGCAGGAATCTTTAAAAGACTAAATCAGAACGACATAATTGCATGGTTCCAAAAATAATTAACACCAACAGTGTACTTCTTTAATGTACAAAGCACAAAAATCAAAAATGTGCAGATTTAAAGATGTAATTTACAAATAAATATGTAGAATGAACCTAAAATCCACCTTCTCAGTTCTTGGCCATCTTTAAATGGCCCAAGTATCAAATAAACTTCATTGCATAAAGATGGCTGGATCTTTATGGGACTTGCTAAGCCTCAAGAGGTAACTGGGAGGAAGCTGGGATACAGTAACTGTGGAGAGAGTGCTAACCCAGCAAGAGCTCAGACACCACTGCGCTCTAGAATGAGAGAAGCTGAACACAGAAAGTAGAACACAGGAAAGCAAGCCATGATGATGACGATGATGATGATGACGACAACCCTGAAGTAGATCCGCATACGCTGACAATTGAAGAACAAAAGAAAAAAATTGCAAAACAACATATGTTGGATAAAGGCATAATGCAGGGAAAATTACTACAAAACAAAATTTCTACATGTGCAGGAAGAACATATCAAATCCACAAAAGCTCTAATTCTGGGAGGGATGACAGGTTGTGGGAAAGAGGTTGATGAGGGCTCTTGCTTTGCTGGCTTTATTGCATTCTGCACAAAAAATATACTCACGTGTGACTTGAGTAGTTTTCTAATTTTTTAAATGAAAGGGTGTGAACAAATACATGAGTAACCAGAAACCTGAGTGAATTCACAGCCCAGGCTCTTTCAGCTGCACCACGAGTCCCCCTCCTCCCAACCACCTTGCTTCATCAAAAGCAGCGAGTATGACTTACTGAGAGGAAATCATAAGACTTTTCTCCAAAGAGCCTGTTGGCTGTTCTAAGCAAGTACTGTGTGTCCGTCTTGTTCACTTCAGTGAGAAGGGACTGGAAGCTCTGGTGGACATCTCCACCTCCACTGTTGCTGCTTTTATTTAAAGAAAGTACCTGAAATCAGAAACACAACAAAAACACACCATTGCAGTAGGCCCTGACTACAGGGAACAAGCAAACTATACTAAACTTGGCATAAGAACTGTGCAGATTCAAACCACCAACCAATTAGAGACAAAAAGTATCTTGAAAGCTCATTCTCCAGTGTTCCTCCCAGGTTCCTTCTCTGTACCCTGTCAGTATTGGTCTAGCGGAAATGGCTTTCCACAATGCAGGTTCTTTGTATCTATAGCCTAGCTGGAGACAGGGCTACCAGCCAGACTTCCCATCTCTGTGAACATAGACTGCTCCTAAAAGTTGTAAGGTACAGTTTTTCCCACCCTTAGGTCTGGAATGGCTCTGACCAATAGAATTCAGCAGAAGCAATGCTGTCCAGGCCTGAGCATTAAAACCCCTAGCAGCTGTCCCATTCACTCTTTTGTACCCTGCTGCCATGATGGAAGGAAGTCCAAGCTATCCCCTTGGAGGATTTGCTACACACAGGCTGAGTTGCCTAGAAGAGAACCAAGATGCCAGATGTGAAAGAAGACTCCTGGGACCTTGCAATCCAGCTGCCCATTGCAATAGTAGAGTGAATGACCCCAACTGGCTTATATAACAGGGAGCATTAAGAACTGCCTGTGAGGCCACCGAATCTGAAAAACAATCCACCATTATTATATCTAGCCAGTAAGTTTGGGGATGGTTTTTTTTTTTGCAGCAACAGATAACACATGCAGCAATGCAGAAGTGTTCTAACATAATGAAAATATAAAAAACGTGGTACTGGATTTGGACATGGCAGTTGACAGAGGCTGGAGGTATAGGGATGAAATTACTACTGCAGACTACAGAAACAGGGGCTTGTGATATGGTAGACACTGCTGGGGAAATAAAATGTTCACCTGTAGCAAGAGGTAAGATAGGGCACGTTCCCAACTCCCACATCTGCCTAAGATGCCCGGGAAGCATGTACCTTCCTTTTAGCTGCCTAAGTTATAGAGTATGGGAAGAGAGAGATGAGCCAAAGAAAAAATTATTCCATTTTCAAGCAGAATTTCAAGGAACTATTTCTAACCCAGGTCTTGATGGGTAGAACATAAAGGTGTTTCTTATCTCGGAGCTCCCTCTCCAGTTGACAAAATGATTCTCAACATAAGAAATGACCTCATGGTAGAGCTCAAATCCATGGCTTCAGGAGCAAGGTCAAGATCCACTTTGTAAAAACCTTGGGACAACAAAGGCAGCATCTTGTAGACCTCTAGACAAAGAGGTTTCTAAGCAACTCAAGGACATTGTCCCACATCACCCTTACTTCCAACCCAATACACAGTCTGTCTCAAACAGGCTTGTGCGTGTGGCTTGGTCCAGTGCAACAGGCTATTTTACTTGAGACCCGGAAATCCTACAATGGTTTTAAAGGAGTTATAAAACCTTGTAACTAAAAGGTGAGACAGTTCAAAGTGAAGAGAGGTCCTTGAACCCCAACTCTCTTTTGGCAGGAAGAAGGCTACAGGAGCAACAAATATGGCCCATTTCTTCTGGAAAAGGAAGGGAGGTGCCAAGCGCTAAGTCCAGAATGCACAGGGGAGTGCCATGGCCTGACATGTGAGGGACCAGGAATGCTCCCCAGGAAACCTAGGTGGAGCCAATCAAGGAATATTCCCACCCTGAGGGCAGAGGAGCCTGGCACACACACCTGGCTGGATTTGGAAATTGCTACAGTTCAGGGACTGCAATGTGCTCATAGGGGTGCTCATCAGGGGTAGCATGTGCTTCTTGTCAATTCTCCATCCACACCCCTCTGATAACCTCTGATATCCATCCACAGCAATCCCTTTGGGATTTGAAGTGTGGAGAATCAGCTCAATCGACAATTGTCAGCATTTACTATTACTCCCAAAGGACACCAGGTACCTGAGCCATCTGGACTGCGGTGGTTCCGTTTGCCCCCAAGAGGACCATGGCCAGGGCCGAGGAGATGCTGATGGGTGAGTAAAACACATTTTTTGAACTGTCTTCACCCAGCGTTTTCAGAAGGTTTAAGGCAAAGGTGCCGCTTGCTTCCAACAGAGGATCCATGATGGCGAGCCTGGAACGATGGATTTCAGATCAGTATCACATGAACACAGGCTCACAAGTCAACTGAACTTTCCCTCCCGTTAACTCCACTGCTGCTGTAGTGCAATAAGCAAATAGACACACACAGAATTCTGAGGGTCTCTTTTGAGGTCTCAAGATCATTTTATGTCCTAATATTAAATGAAAAAGAAGAGTAAAATTTAATACTATGATCCTATTTTGTGAAGACCTGTGCATGGGCAAAGTGTAGACAGGACACACGCACCACGTTACTGCAGTCACTTCCTGGAGTGGGTAAGAGAAAGGGTGATTAACTTTGGCTTCCACATCTGTATTCTTTGTGTGTTGTAAGGGCTTATTGTGTCATTTAATTTGAAAATCATTTAAAATTATAAATTCACTTGCAAAGTTAAAAAGACATGACACACAAGTGTTTTTATAATTTGGGAGCGTTCCCCATTTTAGGGTAATCTAAAGCCTTAAAATAAATATGGGAAATAAAACCACATGAGACCCTTCTCTCCTCTAAATCAAATACCCACCCATCACCCCCAACAAATGAGGGTGCACATACAGGCATGCTCAATAGGACACCACTTAACCCTCAGTTCTCCTTCTAGGAAACCTATGCATGGGACAATATCTGTGGAACACTGAACAAGGTCCCCAGACACATCCAGGTCCTAATCCCTGGAACCTGTGAAATTTCCCTCATGTGGCAAAAGAGAATTTGCTGCTGTGATTAAGAATGGACCATTCAGGTGGCCCCCAAGTAGAGTCACATGTAGTTTATAAAAGGGGTTGTCAACCTGAGTAAAAAAAAGAGAGAGAGAGAGAGAGGGAGAGGCTCTCTAGAACAAAAGATTTCCATTCAGAATAGAAAAGGGTTGCAAACCTGGTGGGAAGACTATGAAAATCAAAGATGCATGGGAGTAAGGGTAGGGAGGATGAGACCAAGAGAGAACTTGTAATGACAAATAAGAGCCTAAGCAGCCAGGCGCTGTGGTTCATACCTGTAATCCCAGTGGCTTGGGAGGTTGAGGCAGGAGGATTGCAAGTTTAAAGCCAGTCTCAGAAACCCAGCAAGATCCTGACTCAAAATACAATAGACTGGGAATATGGCTCAGAGGTAAAGTACCCCCAGATACAATCCCTGGTACCAAAAAAAAAAAAAAAAGTGATTGGTCTCAAACACCCTTGCTTTATGGCAACAACTGGGCCTTAGAGGCCCATGTTCAATTTTTCTAGTCCAACAACGGGGAATTGAGGTAGGATAGAAAAACTAAAAGATACGTAGAAAACAGACAAAAGGAAGGACATGGAGAGTATCATTTTAATCTGAAAGTCTCATGCCTTATGACAAAGTTCTGCATGTGTTTCTTCCCAGATCTGTCACTCCCCAAGCCAACTGAGCTAATTTCACTCCCAATTTTCTGGGCAATCTGTCAATCTTTCAGTTGATGGAAATTCATCCACTTTGAAAATTACCTTGTGCATTGTTGATTGTCTTATGTAAGAAACAGATTAAGCAAAGAGAGAGACGATATTTTAAGAAACATAAACTAGGGTACTTCCAATGTGACTTACCGGTCACTTAGCAGAGATCATATCAGTCTAAGAATCCTTAGAATTCCAGACCATCATAAACCATCTTGTGATCATCACACTGAAGTCCTCCTCACATACCTTCCCATGTCCACCCTTCACCAAATTTCCTTTAAAAGAGCCCGAGAACCCCCAAATCACCTCATTCTCAAGATGACTCACATTCCCCCCTGAATGTCTATATTCCTTGCTTTCTTAAATAAATCTCTGCCTCAGACATGTTCTTCAATCCATTTCTGCACATCTATCAAGAACCCCACTCATCCTAAGTTGAGGTCCACCCCTCCAGAAACTCCTTAGACCTCTTCCAGTGACAGTATAACCTATGTCCTTGTTTCTTTTAATGAAGGAATTGTAAAGTACAAAATCTGAATACTCGAGAAGGAGATGAGTACTGGTTCTGATAGAAAATAGAGTTGCTGCTCAATTCACAATAAGCCAAACTGTGAAACCAACCTAGATGCCCTTCAATAAATGAATGGGTAAAGAAACTGTGGTATATATACACAATGGAATATTACTCAGCAATAAAAGAGAATAAAATTATGACATTTGCAGGAAAATGGATGGAGTTAGAGAATATCATGCTAAATGAAGTAAGCCAATCTCCAAAAACCAAAGGCCAATGTTTTCTCTGATAAGTGAATGTAAACCAAAATTGGGGGGTGCACATGGGATGAGTGATGGAACTTTGGATGGGCAAAGGGCGGGGAGGGTGCATGGGGGTAGAAAAGATGGTGAAATGAGACAGACATAGTTACCAGAGTTACATGTATGATTGCATGAATAGTGTGACTTTACCTGAGTTAAGCAGGTCTATAATGAGCTGCACAGGATTTTACCCCCAAAGTTTTGAGGTACCAATTCATAGCTTCCCTACCACCAGCTCTGCTGTTAAGAACTTTCCTGACATTCTGACCCCAGCTCCATCTACCCTATAACACCCCTACTCTTTGAAGCTTATGAAATCTTATCCCCATCCCTGATATCCAGAAATGTCCCAGTGATGTGTCCTTCTCTGGGCCCAGTTCATTCTTTTTGGTGGAGATTTGGAGGGCCCTTTCAATGTAGCAATTTAAAAATTTCTCCTTCCTACTCAGGGAAAACAAATTAAAGTGCTTTCTCATTTCCTGCAGAATCTCTGTTCTCTGCTTTTTTACCTCCTATTTGTCAGGCACTAACACTCTTGGAATGAACTCATCTGGGACTTTCCAACCTTCTGAATGTCACAGCACACACAAAGAATGATACTAGTACTATACTTTGGGACAAGGTTACTTGCTGTAGAGGTGTCCAGCTCAAATCTCCAGCCACCAGGCTGCCCCGAGTTGGAGAGGTCAACACCTTGACAATATCCCAACACACAGTGAAAAGTTCTACTCAGACCTTTTACTTCTCTTGCATTGTCTGTAACAATTACATTTTGTCCCATTTTCTGGAGAAAGGCCATTGTCCTCCAATCTTTCTTTTTTTTTTTTTTTTTTTGGTTAATATCAGTTGTTACACTTTTTAATTTCCAAGGACTCTGTTTTTCTCTGATGTCCTTGGTTCCAATTCCTCCAAGAACATCCACTATAGTTCTCTTGAGCTTCTTTTGCACCCTGCCTTGTCTTTCCCTGATGTTTTGCTATTGTTGTTGTGGTGGTGGTTGGTGTTTGTTTTATTCTATGTAGGTTTCTCTTTCATGCTTAATATTCCCAAAAGTGCCCACCAAACCCTGGGTGTCAGTCCATATTTAGGGAAAAACACAAAAGGCTGCTGGAAATTCTGTTTACAAAAGTGACACTTGTCAGCTGGGGGTTTCTCTGCTGATGTGATCAAGGAGTCACAGTAGCTTTTTCTGCTGAAGAATGGCAAATAGAAAAAACCCTGGTCTGGCTGCTGGCTCTGATGTATAAGTAGCTGGAGTGAGGGCTGGGGTGCTTCTGCTAGATCCCTCTCCCCTCATTTCAGCCCAGTGCTTTTCTCATCAGTTCTTGCAGGGCTGAGACCTGACCTCCTATCAGGGGCTGCTAGGAAAGAGGGGGGCTGCCTGGTTGCCAGGGCAGAGGGGATGGCATCTGAGGTTCAATCCACTCCATAAACAGACTTTCTACGAGGGGCCCTGCTGCCACCTGCACTTCACCCTCCCTCTCCAGGGACTCCAAGGTTGAGACTGTCAGCTCCTCTGGGCTGCTCCTCCCTCCTCCCTCCACAGACACTGAGCTCCTTCCTCTAGCCACTTTCCTGCTCAAAACTCTGCTGGCATCTCTTGTCCACTGCTCAGCTCCTCTCTCCTTGTCTTGTCCTTGGTTTTAATGATTTAAAGAGCTCTTTGCCTGTTGGGTTAGCAGGGTTTTAAGGAAAGAAGAAGATGAATACACAAGGCCACAAATATACCAACCATTTTTGTAAAAACAATAGAACAATATGTGAATGCTGAAAAGCCACATTTCTTGAGTTATTACTTAGTCCCTCTTTTGTCATATATGTGTCCAAGCATTAAATCCCATGTATTAAAATCTTTATTTGTCCTGAAACATAAATTTGAAAATAACCTGGAACTATGACATAATCATAAAACAATTTTCATTTTTTCTTTGCAATAACATATAAATCCTTAACAATCAATTATAAAAGGATTAGAGTTCCAATCCTAAAAAGAGAAAGTAATCCAAATTCTAAGATATTCCAAATAATAAAGAAAATCATAAGCAATCTAGTGAGATTTTTTTTTAAATGAGTTCTTTCTCTTACCTATTCATGTTCCAGTAATAAGGATACACATTTCACAGATGGCATTGCAAACTCAGTGCCTAATAATGGCCTTTCCAGTGCCTACTTCTACAGCTGCAGGAAATAAAGATGTGGACACTTCATACACACACATAGACACACACACACACACATATAAAATTCATACACATTTCAAAATCACTCACTGCTTTGAAAATAAATAAAAACAATTTTATAATTGTTTTTTATAAATTGTTTTATAAATAAAAACAATTTTAATCATTACATAAAAAAGAGATTAAGGCTCTCTTAATGAGCTACTTTATACATATTTTGAACATCTAATAAATCTACCCTAGGGTTATTTCTTCCCCTGAATCATGACCAGTAACTTTGAGCAGTTCATGTTCACAACTGAATTTATTCAACTGATCAAGTCCAAAAAAATTTTAAGGTGTCAATCTTTGATTGTGTTCTTGACTAACAGTGTTTTCATTTCCTACAAAATGTAACCATGTAAAGTCAATTTAAATGGAAACTTGGGTTCCTGTTTTGTCTCTGCTTTGCTTTATTGTGCAGTTGCAGGTGTGTCTGGGTATGTGTGGTTGTGTGTAACTTCTCTGAGCAGTAGATGCCTAACAGGTAATAATTAGAAATTATTTTCTTCTTCTGATGTGTTCTTGTCCCAATCCCTGATCCAGCCATCTTAGAAACGTAAGGTGTGTGGTCTTCCATGTGATCCTACAACATCCACCTGGCTACTCTCATGGGCAGATAGATATAAGGGGGGAAATATTGATGCTGTTTGTTCTAATTTCATTCTACTGTTAATGGCCTGAGTTAAATGTAATAAAATGCCTTGGAATGGAATCTTAATTATAGGGATCCCTAAGTATATGAGGGTACAGGACCTCCATAGCAAACCAAAACCCTCAGAAGTTCAATTACTTTATATAAAAGGTTGTAGTATTTACTATAACCTATGCCCACCCTCCTGTATTCTTCAGACCATCTCTAGATTACTTCTGTCAGCTAATACAACGTAAGTGCTATATAAACAGTTGTTAAACCATATTGTTTAGGAAATAACAAGAAAAAAAGGCTGCATATGTTCAGTAGAGAATCAATTTTCCTCCCAATATTTTTCATTCACTGTTGATTAAATCTGTGGATAGGTAACGTGTGGATATGGAGTGCCAACTGTATTTTGCTTATGGAACCAAGTACCGCCTTTGTCAAGGCACCAAATCATAAGGGATGCAATTACTCAGGGGTAGTCATGAAACACTGGCACATACCCAAGATATACTGATAAAAGCAGTCATTCAGGGTAATCACGTACATGTTACTGAGCCTCAGCACTGCAATGCTCCACCCCTAGGCCCTGAATCCAAAAGTTCCTTAATTCATCTGAATTTATCCCAGCAATCCTAACTCATAAGAGGAAGGAAACAGGCAGCCAGGGCATGTTCCTAACATCAGTATAACTAACTGAACCCCGTGCAAGATGAAAAACCAGACCCAGCTTCCCCCTGGTATCTGAGTATTTCTCACCCCATGTGAATATTAATTTTCCATGAAGTCTGTCAAAATTGAGCTTAAGGTACCCTTCAACAGATGAATGGATAAAACAATGATATATATATATGAGATGGGATATTACTCGGCCTTAAAGAAGAATAAAATTATGACATTTGCTGGTAAACGGAGCAGGAGACTATCATGCTAAGTGAAATAAGACAATCCACAAAAACAAAAGTCAGAATGTTTTTTCTGATATGCCAATGCTAATTCACAATGGGAGGTGGCTAGGGAATAATAGTTACTTTAGATTAGGTAGAAGGGAGTGAAGGGAGAGGAGTGGGTATGAAGGTAGGAAGAATAGTAGAGAGAATCTGACATTATTACCCTATGTACACATATAACTATACAACCAGTGGGATTCTACAGCATGTATAACCAGAAGAATGAGAAATTATACTCCATTATATATAACAAAGTACACTCTACTGTCTTGTATAACTAAAACAAATAAAAATTTATTTTAAATTTGAGTTTAAAGGGAAAGGAGAGAAGGAACTAATTTAAATGCCAATTTTATCCAACACACAACCCTAAACATAAGTAAAACGTTTCCCATATTCTCTTATTTAAAAAAAAAAAAATTGTAGGCGTAGACAGACAGCATGCCTTTATTTTATTGGTTTATTTTTACATGGTGCTAAGGATGGAACCCAGTGCCTCACACTTGCTTGGCAAGTGCTGTACCATTTGGCAGCCCTAGCTCCTCCACATACCCTCTTATCCTTGAAAAGACCAAATCTTGTAACATTTTGCCTGCAATAAATTTAATTAAGAAAAAAAAAAAACAGATCCTTAACAAGTTCTCAAACGATCCTCGAGTGGGGAGACCACGGCTCCTGCACGGGAAAGGCGCTGAGGGACCCCTCTCCCGCCGCCCTTGGCACTGAACCCTCGGCCTCTCACGCCTCCAGCCCTGCGGGTTCCTAAGGCCCAGCTCCCTGCTTCAGGAGCCCGCGGCCTCCGCGTCGCCAGGAGGAAGCGGTCACCACTGGCCAGGGACGGGTGGAGTCACCTGTGGGCTCGCGACGGGCTGGGATTACGGGTGGACCCGGGACGAGCGGGGTCACCTGCGATCCCGGATCCCGGAGCTGCCGCTGGGCCGGCTCCGCGCTGCCCCCATCCCGCTGCAACCGCCTACCCCTCGGTCGCTGAGCCTGCGCGACCCGGATCCGGGCGGTCCACCGCGGCCCGATCCTGCCCACAGACTCACCGGGTGGCGTCACCGTCCGCGGCGGCCGCGGGGATCCAGAAGGGAACCTGAGCCGACGCTGCCCCCGTGCCCGGCGCCGCCCCACTTCTCCGGGCGCTGGCTCCCCGCGTCCCAGCCCCGCGTGTCCCCCGCCGCCACTCCCGGCCCCAGGCGCTTTCCCCGAGTTGGAGCGGATAACGGACCCCCGCGTGCCACGGCGGTTCCCACCAGACACGTACCCCAGACTCTCGGCGCCACGGCCCACGGCGAGCAGAGCAGAAGGAAGATGTCCCGGCCACCAGGCCTCAAATACCCGCCGGGGGGGGGAAGCGGGCGGAGTCCCGGGAAGAGAGCCAGGGCGCCGCGGGGCCAGCAGCGGCCTTCGGCCACCGCGGGAGGAGGCGGGGAGAGGGAAGGCAGGGCGGCGACGAGGAGGCTGCAGGTGTGCAGCAGGTAACCACTGCACTTTAACCCCAATCCTGCGGGCGGTCTGCCCCGCTGCGGACTCCACCCGTGCTGGCGGGGCCGTGGGTCCTCTCCCGTAGCAGGGGTACGAACTTCATTGTGGCGGGGACTGGAATGGCGGATGAAACCACCGCCTGCTGCTCCGGGAGTTTTCCAGCAGGGGGCGTCAACGCGCACCCCACCAACCTGTTTACTGTGAATAAGTAAGAATAATATTACTTAATAATTAAGTACCAGCTTTTAATGGGCATAAATGAGTGCCGAACCGAAATTTTAAATGAGAAGAAAGAAAAAGTTTAATACTGGGGCTGGAGGTAGAACTCAGTGGTAGAAGCGCTTTCCTCGCATGGAGGAGGCCCTGGGTTCCATTCCCAGCTATGGAAAAAAAGATAAGTGAGCAGAGCTCTTTGCTCAAAGATTCCAGTACTCTGAAGGAGACCCCAAGGTACTACTGACAAATAATGACAATGAAAAAAAAAAAATGACAATGAAAAAGGTTTAATGTTTGGCTAATAATCCTCCGTCTTCCAGAGCCATGCCGTTGTTTCTTTTCTCCCTGTGGTTATCCTGTAGGAATATTATTTTCCATAATCCTTCAAGACATCTTTTCATGTGTTTCAAAGACATCACCTCATTTCTGTTTGTCTTTCCCTGTGAATTCTTCCTGACCTATGTTCACTTTTAAAATTTGTTCTTTTTCTTTTTTGGTACCTAAGATTGAACCTGGAGTGCTTAACCACTGAGCCACATCTCCAGTCAGCCCATTTGTTGTTGTTATTTTGGTTTTTGTTGTTGTTGTTGTTGTTTTGAGATAGAGTTTCATTAAGTTGCTTAGGGCCTTGCTAAATTGCTGAGGCTGGCTTTGAACTTGTGATCTTCTTGCCTCACCCTCCTGAGCTTCTGATATTACAGAAATGTGCCACTTGCTCAGCTTCTTCTTGGATCTTAGCATCTCTTTATATATAAGCATTATTAGTGCTTTGTGATATAATTCCTGAATCACACCCCCCTCGACACCCTCCCCCCACTTATCTGTTTTCTGACATTGCTTCTGGTAACTATGGCATACAGTTTTTCATGAAGTCAAATTTAGTGACTTTCCTTTATTGTTTCTAGGCTTTGTGTCATGGTTAGAAAGTCTGTGTCTAGATTACCAAGTTCACCAATTTTTCCCACTATTTGTATGGTTTCACATTTAGATTGCTGGTTCATTTAGAGTTTATCCTGGCTTATCAGAAATATAGGTGGGACTTTAACTCCATTCTCCTTGAACAGGTTCTTGATCTGCTGCTATAGTCTGAGGATATCAGACTCACTTCTTCACTTTTCCAAAGATTCTCCAGAAGCCTTTGGTCTCAGACTAGGGTAGCACTGTTGATCCCTCTTGTTCTGGGGCTTCAGCCTCTTGGACTATGCAGCTATTGGTTCTTCCAGCTCTCTAGCCTGCACATGGCCATTGTGGACTATCCAGTTTCTGGTCCTGTAAGCCAATCTAATAAGTCCCCCTTTTATAATTATACTTCCTGTTGATTCTGTTCCTCTAGAGAACCCTAATACAGGGGGGAAACTATGTCTACACTGAGCACATGTGGTATAACAATTATCTACCAAATATTTACTTTGTATTGGGTATTAAAAGTGATCTTGAAATGACCTAAATATATGGGAAGATGTATAGACTCTGCAAATACTATTCCATTTTATATAAGGGACTCAAGCACATGCAGATTTTGATGTCTGCAAAAGCGCTATCTTAAATCCAAGAAGGATTGTTTCTAGGACTATTTCAAATTTGAAGAATTGATTCTAATTATTTAAATTAAAGAAATGTTTACAAGTCACATAGGTTAATAACACGAAGCTCAGCAGCCTTCTAAAAACCTTTTTCAGAATAAAGTTGCTTAACACATCTTTCCACCTTTGTATAACACAATCCTAACAGGCTCATGATGAAAAATAGAATCAAAATAAAAATATCAGGTTTTTAATCATATATGATAGGAATACACAATTGGAGAACTATTCTAGTGAGTTAGTAGTTCTGGTGTTCATGTGACCAAGGCCTGGGGCTTTACTTGTCTATAATCCAACATGAAAATCAGTTTGAACTGGCACCACCTGAGATGCTTATAGGGCCTTTCTTCCTCTTTTTAGCCATTTACTACAGGGGGCAGAAACAGGTGCTGGAAATCTCTTTTTTTGTTGTTGTTTTTCTATTTTGGTTCCTTTTTGTTTATTTGTTTTGTTGTTGTTGTTGTTGTTGTTGTTGTTTTCATGCTAGGATTGAACCCAGGGTCTCCTGAATGTTAAGCACAGCATGTGCTCTACCACCAAGCTGCACCTGCATAGTGGCTGTGATGGTGATCTTTAATATGACTCTTGGCAAACCAGTTTCCAGATAAAGGATAAAGGTTACCACTGATGATAAAGAGTAAAGGTGGGGCTGGGATTGTGGCTCAGTGGCAGAGTGCTTACCTCGCACATGTGAGGCACTGGGTCTGATCCTCAGCACCACATAAAAATAAATATAAAATAAAATAAAGATAACCTTTACTCTTCTATTTTAAAAAATAGAAGAGTAAAGGTTATCGCTTGCTACCTTGGAACTTTTCTTCTTTCCTCTCTTCCTCATTTAATGAGGAACTGAATAATTGGTAAATATATTCTTCTCCCTAGGTGGGGTCAAGAAAGAGGAAGGAATGATAAGCAGGAACAAATCCATGAATGCTGAGTATCATCTGCAACTTATTTTTCCTTAAGACTTTTGTGTCTGTATCTTCCCCTGTGGAATGTCCCCAGGTGTCCTGGAAGCTGAGTTTGGAGGGCTGGTAAGCCATTTCAGTGCCAGGCAATAGCTGGAGAAGGAGTGCCACTATCAGAGGAGGATAAGCAGTGGGATACAAGGGTGCCCAGTCATTTGCAGAAGATTACTCAGCTGTTACTCAGAGGTACCAGTGATTCATTGGTGTCTAATACTTAAAAAAATTCACTATAAAACTAGTCATGACAACAAAAAGACCTGATCCCAAAAAAGGTCTCTTAACTCCAGCTTTAATTGGTCCCTGATGCTAACAATGATGGGCAATCAATCGCTCTTACATGGTAACAACTTGACATTTTCTTTTTCCAAACATCCCTGGATGGTTTTGAAAGGACTTCAGTACTCCATGCAAAATAAAAGCTTTCTTGGCAGCTAGACAGCAATCTGAATTTATAATCAATAAACTGGAAATAAAGATGTACCGGGAATCTGGTCATAAGTACTAACACAGCTTGTTTTACTTCCTTATTTGGAATTGTTTCAATTAAATATTTTGTTTTTCTGTTTTGTGTTCTGTTTATTTTTCTTTTATATTATTAAACCCAGGGCCTCAAGCATGCTGAACATGTGCTTTACCACTAGGTCTATATATATTGTATGTTTGTAAGCAAATATTAGATTGTTAGATATAATACATTGACAAAGACACCTTGGAAAACAATGTAGCCTCCCATTTAGCTTATTGAATTCAAAGTACATTTGGTATCAGAGCATCAGACTGGAACTCACATATGAATGGATCAAACAATAGAAACTAGCCAGGTATGGTGGCAGGTACCTGTAGGCCCAGCCACTCGGGAGCCAAGGTTGTATGATCACTTGATCCAGGAGTTTGAGTCCTACCTGGGCAACACAGCAAGACCTCATCTCAAAAGAAAGAAAGAGAGAGAGAGAGGGAAAGACAAAGAAAGAAAGAAAAGAGGAGAGAAAAAAAGAAAAATCATGTTTGTCTATAAAGAACAGCCATTATTTTAAAAAATAAAGGGGGGGTGGAATTGTGGCTCAGTAGCAAAGCACTTCACATTTGTGAGCCACTGGATTCGATCGTCAGCACCACATAAAAATAATAAAGGTATTGTGTCCATCTACAACTAAAAAAATTTTAAAATAAATAAAGGGCTTGGAATGTGGCTCAGTGATTAAGTGCCCCTGGGTTCAATCCCTGGTACCAAAAAAAAAAAAAAAAAAAAATACAGCAAGTAATTATTACCAATTTTGACCCCAAACTGGGTCCTTTTTCCCTTTTGGAAATACAGAGCCAATAAATAAGACCCATATCCAACTCAGGAGCAAGGAAAGGTTTAATGTTGGTCAAAGAATAGAAGAAACAGAAGACAAGGCCTTGAAAATCAGTTTCTTGGCTCATTGGGTATGGAAAATCCTAGATAGAGGATAAAATAAATGAGATAAGAATTTTCCTTTTTTTTACTAGTCTATCCCTCCCCTTCTAGAAATTTGAGCACCACCTCTTTCTGCTCCTTTTATATTTCTTTCTGGTCTCATCATGGCGACTGTCAACCTTCATGGCACTGGAGAGTGTCATTTACCAGGAAGATGGAATTATAATGAATTTGGAGGTTATCAGGTGGTCACTCGGGCAGCCATCCTAGATCCAACCCATTTTTGCCAGCCCACTTGAGGAGGACTTCTGATCTTCAGGCTTCCGTCCTTAAAGATGAACAAGATTAGGGTGGGATTAAAATTCAGCAAGATTGTGTAGGCATCAACCCCTCACCACATCACCTGTCCAGTCCCCCTCTCCAACCACTGGTACACAACAGTGATTCAGGACCTTGAGGCAGGAGGGTCACAGTTTCAATGTCAGCCTCAATAACTTAGCAAGGCCCTATCTCAAAATTTTAAAAAAGGGGGTGGATATGTGGCTCTATGGTTAAGTGCACCTGAGATCAATCCCTGGTACCAAAATAAACAATTATAAAAACCTAGATTCTGGTTTTAAATTTGGTGGCTTAAATTTTTATTTTTGAAAGTCCTGCAAATAATTTATCTTAATTATAGCCAGCATAATTACATGTACATTTCATTTATAACATTTGTTCTTCAGAAACCTGCAACCTGCTTAGACAATCTGCAATTTGTTTACACCTTTAGCTTTTGAGCTTTTGGCCTTATTTTTCTTCCCATTTGGAAACAATCCAGTCATTTTACTTTAGGACAAAAATCATACTTTATTATACACAATCCTGCTTCATTCAAAAACATTCTCTAAAAGATATATCCTCATC